ATGTTTGGATGGAAGAGTACAGGAGTGTGTGCCTGCAGCACTGGTAGAAGGTGTTGGTGGAAAGTAAGAGTAAATATTCAGAGAAAAACTTGGATAGAACAGTTTCACCAGATGAAGAACTCAAATGATAAAAATGCAAATCAAATAAAGCAGATAAATGTGCATTTATATAATTTTTGCCTTTAAAAGAAGATTTCACGTGGCTCTGGACCTTTCTCTTACTCCCTCTTGGCATATGTAAGCTGATACTTATTTCAAATAGGTTACTCATGTCCAGCACATCCACACAAAGAGCCCGGATAAAATAAACATGCCGCGTCAGATATCTTGGAAAGAATCTGTCCTGAGTTTGGGGCTAATCACCTCCAGAAGGGGCTTGACTCAAAGCCTGAAACGTTAGCCCCTGTCGGGGAGCACTGGATGGGCTATAGGCTGGGTTGGGCTGGCCAGGCCTTAGGAACAGGGAATGGATCCAGAGGAGGGGGTGCCTTCCACAGGTCAGGACCAGAGGAGCATAAGCGCAACGCTACAAGTCAGTCAAAGACATGCAAACTCGAGAACCACTGTCACCATGGCAACATGGTCATCTTGTAAAAAGCTCACAGGGGTCGTCAAGTCCAGAGTTAAGCGGGTTAGAGCTGTGCAACAATGTTCAATCAGGTCATCTAGACGGTTTCTTTTTTTGCTGAGACGTTTCGTCCTTCATCCAAAGGACCACTTCAATCTGAGGAGCCCCCAAACAAACTGATTTCTACAAATAGCACACTCCATAGTGGAAAAAAAAAAACAGTTCGCTGATGATAAGATGGCCTCCGGGGCCCACCCTCTTCCCCATCCTCTGAGACGGTCATGCCAAAGTGGTTCACAACACCAAAGTTCATGCTCAATAATATAGGTAAATATCCAACAATGTGCAGTCAGGTCATCTGGATGGTTTTTTGTTGTTGTTGTTGTTGTTGTTGCTGAGATGTTTTGTCCTTCATCAAAAGGATTTCTTCAATCTGCCATCTTAGCACCAGCAGACTGTTTTTTTTCCCACTTTGGAGTATGCTGTTTGTGGAAATCAGTTTGTTTGGATTCCTCAGATTGAAGAAGTCCTTTGGATGAGGGACAAAAGGTCTCAGCAAAAAAAAAAAAAAAAAAGAAAAGAAAAGAAACCATTCAGATGACCTGACTGAACATTGTTAGATTTTTACCTGGATTATTGAGCATGAACTTTGGTGTTAGAGCTACGCAGTTTACTGGATTCCATTCTGTAGGATCAGCAACGTGACCAAGGATGCAAAGTTTAAAAGAAAAACGAAGGTTAATCACAGACTTTTTAAAATGATCAATTCATGTAGTTGTTTTAACATCATGGTTTTAGAACTTCAGTTATGTTAATTTCTTTTTTTTAGGATAAGGGTTGAGAAGACAGATAGCAAACTGAGCTAGTAAAATCAGAGTGGGGAAGCTGAAAATAAACAATTTATCTGCCAACCTGTCTCCTTGTCCTGACAAGAATTAAGTTGTCCACCCTTTTACCTCCAAGACTAGGATGGTAATACTTTGACTGTCTGTTAGCAAAAAAAAATCATAAACCAGTGGATGGAATAAAATAAAACTCTCAGAAAGTAAGCACTGGGTGTACATCTACAACTGGTTAATTTTGTATGTCAACCTGATTCTATGTGGCTGCCACAGCTAATCAAGCTTAGCAAATTAAAAAGTTATAACTCAATCATTTCAACAGATATTGAGCTAAGGTTTGGTGTGGTAGCAGCTGACAGTCATCCCCATCACAAGCTTTAAATAATAAATTGCATGAAAAAAAAAATCTAAAACCTTTGTATATGAGGCTGGGCGCATTATGACCTTTACCACTTTCTGAAACTGAGCAGTTTTGATAAATATAGTTACACTGTACTGTACCTGAAGAGGAAAATTTCTAAGAAAAACAAATAATAATAAAAATACGCTAGAAAACGAATGAAGGTAGATACGTTACGTGTGCAAATGACCAAGGGCAGAAAAGCTTACAGAATCGGTGCAGGGTTTAAACTGTCTTACCATGACATGGGTAGGAAAAGAAAAGGAGTAGGTGGTCCTGAAGGAGGAGTTTGTAATGAATGTAGTAGAGGTGAAAAGAGTTTCAGTGTGATGTGTCTGAAGGGAGAAGTAGAAGGTCTGATGTTGAATGCAGTCAGTGGTTATGCTCCACAGGTTGATGTAATTGTGGCAGTATCTAGACGAAGCGATGGAGGATATTCCCAAGGAGGAGAGAGTGGTCACTGAAGAGAGTAAAAAGGAATATAAGAAGATGCAACATAGGGCAAAGAGGGAGATTGCAAAGGAAAAAACAAAAGGTGTATGAGGAGCTGTACAAGAGGCTGGACCCTAAGCAGGGGGAGGACTTGTATCGACTGGCAAGACAAGGGTATTGGACTGGAAAGGATGTGCAACTGGTTAGGCTCGTTTGATAGAAACAATCATATTTTAACAAGCAAGAGTGTGATGGGAAGATGGAAGGAGTACTTTGAGGAACTAGTAAATTAAGAGAATGAAAGAGGAAGAAGAGTAGAGGTCATAGTGGGCCAGGAAGTGAGAAATAGAGAGAATGAAGTTCATAAATCTTTGAAGAGAATGAAGAAGGGGGAGACATTTAACATACTAGTGGAGGTTTGGAAATATCTAGGAGAGATGGCAATGAGGTTTTGACTCAAATATTCAATAGCATATTTGAGAATGAGAAAATGCCTGAGGAATAGAAGTGAAGTGTGCTGGTGCCCATTTTTAAGAACATGGGTGATGTACAGAGTTTTAGCAACTACTGGAGAATTGAGATGATGACGATCTGGGAGAGAGTTGTGGAACATAGACCTAGACAAGCAATGACTGTGAGCAGCAGTATAGTTTCATGGCAAGAAAAAGCACCACATGCACCAAATTTGCTTTGAGGATGCTGATGGTTAAGTATAGACAGTGAATGTATCTTTGTGGATTTAGAAAAAAGCATATGACAGGGTGCCGAGGGAGGAGGTTTGGTGTTGTATGAGGAAATCTGGAGTTATTTTTATTAATTTTTGTTACAGGACATGTATAAGGACAGCAAGACAATGATAAGATGTTCTGTAGGAGTTACAGATAGCTTCAAGGTGGAGACATACATACATAAAGGAAAATGTGGGGTATGGTACAGAGCTGAAGAAGAGAGTCCATTCACGATGGAGTGGATTGAGAAAAGTTTCACGAGTGATTTGTGACTAAATGGTGGCAGAAAAGGTCAAAAGAAAGGTTTACAAGACAGTGGTGAGACCAGCTATATTGTACAGTTTGGAGTTGGTGGCAATGACAAAAACACAGGAAGAGGCAGAGCTTGCAATGTTGAGGTTCTCCTTGGGAGTAACTAGGATGGATAGCATTTGTCACGATCCTCAGTGTTGGAACCCAATTGCAGAGAGGCGAGCGAGGCAGGAGTTCAAAAACAAAAACAATTTATTTTTAATAACAAAACAAAAGGCTGTCGGTGCAGCAAAACTTACTTGGGCAGACAGGATCAGAAACAAGGCAGAGCAGATCATCAGGGGGGACAAAAAACAGACAAGACAGAAGAGGACTGAGATGTCTGTGAACACAGAACAATGACCGGACAAGGAGTGAAGGAGAGAAAGGCTTTTTATATAACAGAGGGAGAGTGAGTAATGAGAGCACCTGGGCAGGTGGCTGATGAGGAACAGGTGTGAATGATAAAGA